TACATACATACATACATACATACATGTATGTACATACATATAAATATTGTCCCAGTCAGAAATCTTCACTGTTAGAAATCTTAGCAGTTTGAAATCATGACATTTACAGCTAGAAATATTGACAGTTAGAGATCATTCAGACTGAAGTTAAATCAGTTCGAAATGGTGCAGGTTACAAATCTTGTCAGTTAGAAATCATATCAGTTACAAAACTTGTAAGTTAGAAATCATGTCAGTTATAAATCTTATCAGTTAGAAATCTTGTCAGTTTGAAGTCATGTCAGTTAGAACTCTAGTGGAAATCTTGTCAGTCAGAAATCATGTCATTTACAAATCTTGTCAGTCAGAAATCATGTCATTTACAAATCTTGTCAGTCAGAAATCATGTCATTTACAAATCTTGTCAGTCAGAAATCATGTCATTTACAAATCTTGTCAGTCAGAAATCATGTCATTTACAAATCTTGTCAGTCAGAAATCATGTCATTTACAAATCTTGTCAGTGTGAAGTCATGTCGCTTACAAATCTTGTCAGTGTGAAGTAATGTCGCTTACAAATCTTGTCAGTGTGAAGTCATGTCGCTTACAAATCTTGTCAGTCAGAAATCATGTCATTTACAAATCTTGTCAGTGTGAAGTCATGTCGCTTACAAATCTTGTCAGTCAGAAATCATGTCATTTACAAATCTTGTCAGTGTGAAGTCATGTCGCTTACAAATCGTGTCAGTTAGAAATCATGTAATTGACAATGAATATAAAGCCATGTTTGTCAGTTAACCAATACCGGTCGCTGTGGAATTCCCAGCGGTCAGCACAATTATATAGTGGCTAGAAGGGAAACAGACGGCGAAATCGAAGCCATGTTATTACGGCTCTTCATTTCTCAGAAACTACATTCCAGCCACGTATTAAATATATTTAACATCTAACCCAGTGGTCCCCAAAATAAAAGAAGAGGCGTGAGGGGGTGGGGGGGGGGGCGCCACGATGTTTCAATGCACTAAAGAAAGTGAGTGGATTTGTACATGTAAAAAAATTTTGTTTTGGTTTTTTTTTTTTTTTTAGTTGAGTTATCGACAAAACTTTTTTTTTTTTAAACCCTCTATTACAGACAATTTGTACACCTATCGTTAAAAATCTAATTAATATGATAACACGCGCATTTAATTATAGATCTAGAACACCTTCTGACTTAAACGTACCTCCAATCTTTCTGTTTCCCATGTTACGGTCTTTTAATCTCATTTTACGGTGTTGGGGAGGGGGGTGAAGTCTTGATTTATACTCAAGATGAATGGGGAGTAAGAAGAATAAAACTGTTTTACTATGAAGACATTTGTTTGCAATGAAATTAGTGCTTTATAACAGAGACAACCAGCCGATCCTCGTTTCTATATACAAACAACAATAAGGACAGCCTTCACTCCCTTTATATTACTTCTCAAACTGGAACGATAAAGTGTAGGAGATGTTTGGTGTACAGAAAATAATGATGCTTTCTGTGCGAGGCTGTAATAATTTAATTATATAGGTGTAAGCATTAACAGGTAATGTAGGTTGATAGTTCAGTCCTGGGCTTGTCTTATTCGGCTTGTGGGTTAAAAAAAAACCTGGTTTCTTATTCGCTCCTTACCATGTAATTTTCTGGACAAATTGTTGTGAAAATCCGTGAAAATTGGAAAGGAATAAGTCTGAGTAAATACGTTACTAGAGGCAACATAATGTTTCTGTATGTATTTATGTCAAATGAAGAACAGACTATGCAATAAATCCATGTCACTGAAGGTTAGGACGCATGCTATAAAAAGCCAGTTTTATCATACGTCCGTGAATCCTGGACAATTAATAAAAAAAACTAGAAAAATTTTCTTGGACGACAGAGATGTGATTTTATAGATGAATCCATAGAATTCCATAGTTAGCTAAGGTCAAAAGGCGATCTAGATGTTTTGAAAGAGGCGAGGTCTCGAAAAAAAACTCATCACAAACATCCGAAAGAGGCAATTAACAATTAGTGTGTCATGCTTTTGATAATGGGGACATTGAAACATGTTGTCACCACTGGAAAGTTATGGTTAAAGATCGACAAAGAAAAATAATACGAAAAGATTCTTGACCGCCTTTTGTCCAGGCAAATACGGATGTCAACACACGAATTAATACACGCAGTTGTAGATCACCGATTGTGGTGAGCCATGATCGCCCATGCTAGTCGACAAGGTACTTTAATACTAGAAACAAACAAGTTTAGGAAATCAAGGGTTCACTTTAAAATTCTCACAATAGTCTAACATAAGATGAATTAACGTAAGGAATATTACACACAGAGGGTAACAATAGGTTAGTTGCGTATCCTTTACAGGACGTTGCAGAACCAACACCAACAGCCCCTGGCTGTTGTGTGTTTTTTCTAGGCAGATTTACGTTAGTTGTTTGCCATTGCTTCTGGACGGTCGGCTTTCTTAATACCACTGTCGAAACCAACGCAAGGCGTATGGCTCGCAGTTGGGATCGAATCCGGCATCCCGCATTACGAAGCGTTCCATCGACTTAGCCACAGAGCCGACGACAGAGGGTAACAAAGAAGTCAATATTTCGTACTTAAAACTGCATAGTGCTGACTTGATTTTTCGAGCTCAAGAGAGATAAGTACTGGACGAGGAAGACACAGGTAAACAGATCCTCTTCACGCTAGTCTTGATATGATAAAAGTAATGGACCCTTTTCCACACCTTTATGCGTATAGGGCCTATGGGGCTAGACCTATATTTTTATAGACCCATCGGCATAAGATGGCCGCCTTTACTTCCCGGAACTGCACTCGTAACGCACTCAAGGCTGGGTCGACCTAGAAACCAAGGTCATTTGTGAAAAAAGTCCGGCTCCACCAGGAAACGAACCCACGACCTTCCGATCCGCGGCGAGCGTCTAGCCGCTCCGCCACAGCGACTCTCCTTGTTTAGGATGCAACTCTCATTTTTAAAGACAATCGTACCAAACACAATAGACGATATGGATAACATCACACAGTCTGTCTTTACTTCTGTACTCATTTAGTACTTATTTTAATCCAGAAAGCAATGGCAAACTAATGGACGTAAATTTGGCTAGAAAAACCACACAACAGCCAGGGGCTGTTGGGGTTGGTTCTACAACGTCCTGTAAAGGATATGCAACTAACCTAACTCATTTAAAAGTTGCGTCCAAGTGAGCGCTGAGGCCTCTGCTGAAAAAGTACGACTTGATGAGGATTTAAACCCACGACCTTTGGGCAGTCGTGCGAAAAGTTTAGCTGCTAAAACACGACAGCTCCCCACACCATCACTTACCTTCAACCTTTCCCCTCATTGTGATTTTGATCAAAATAATTGGGTCTTTTAATGTATATAAGTTTAATTTCATGAATGTTTTACATTTCTATTTTTTTTTTTTTTTTATGTTAAATATCTTTAGGGGATACGAGATCTATCATGGTGTAGCGGCATGACGCTCATCTGTTTATCTGAAGGTCGTGGGTTCAGACCCTGATGAAACCGGACATTTTTTCAACTTGGTCAACGCAACTTTAAATGGTTACCAGGTAAAATCCTGGAAAGTAAAGGCGGCCGACGTTACGATGAACACATCACCCACCGGGTGCCGATTGGTATTTAAAATATAAGTCTACCCCTATACGCACAATTCGTCTAAAGACGTGGAAAGGGATCTTTACTAGTTGCGATTTATGTTCTTCTTCTTCTTCTTCTTCGGTCTTTCTAGCCAACAATAGAGCATAGGCCCTCAACCAACTCACGCCAGATCGTTCTATCTTTTGCTTTACGCATTTATGCTCTCTCCTTCTTCGGTCCTAGCCCAATCATTTCTACGACTTCATTTTTGCTTTCGCATACAGCTCTCCCCACGTCCTCCCAATCTTTCTAACTTAATTTCTGAGCTAATTTCTTTTTTTTTGTGAGGGGGGGGGGGTGGGGTGTGGGGGCGCTTCCTTTGTTCCTTTGCCCAAGTGGGTTCCAGTTCAAAGACATTCTTGTTATATTGTTCTCCGGTTTTCTCAATGCTTGTCCTATCCAACGCCAGCGTCTTTTTCACCTCTTGATCCACTGCAGCTTGCTTAGTTCTCTCCCAAAGCTCTAAATGAGTGATTCCATCAGATTCTAACACAGTGATGTATGCTCTACTGGAGGCTAAAGGCTAAAGCAAAAACCGAATGAAAATGTATATGTTAAGATTTGAGCAATGTGGTGACGGTTATGTCGTATTTCATCGAAATAAAATTATTTACATACACTTGTTCTGAAGAAACTAGAAATTAATTGAGTCAAGAACTGACTTCATAACACTCAGGGCATTCCCATGCATGCTCCATCCTATCTTTAGCAGCCAGCGCAGAGTTCCAATACTGGTCACAATCAGGTTAAATGTATGTCTTGCCTTTGCTCTGAGTGTAGTGAGCCGGCCAGACCCTCTGGTTACACCCAGGTGACTCATTCTCTCCAGGCCATATTATTCTTTGTGCTCTTCTGATTCCGTTGGTTGTTCCCAAACGGCCTTGACCACATCTTCCTTGTCATGTATCAATTCACCACCCAGTTGTGCGGATCCAGCCAATTTGTCTGTCTGTTCAATACCCACCACGCCTGGAGAAAAGATCAAAAATATGCTGACTACCCGTGACCTTTCCAGTGAAGCTTGCCATTCTGCTCGAAGCATCCCTGTCTTCACCTTTTTCAGCATGATTTCAAAGTCTGTTAAAATTACGACATGTATCTTGTTCTCTAGCCACCGGAGAGCTGCAGTTACCTCCTCCACCTCCATTCTCATGCTAGATGTGATATCGTATGCTAGGCTGTCTTGCAATAAAGATTTTCCATTGACCTTCGCTACGAACCCCCAGGCACTTCTCTTTCCTCTAACTAGAAATAAAAAACAGCTGCTAAAAGAAATAAAAAAAAAACAATTAAAAAGATTTTTGAAGCAAAGTATTTGGAGGCTTCAAACTTTCAGAAAGATAGTAGAACCTCTTCTTTACCTGCTCGTAACTGTTTCCTACAGGCAAGCGGCCATGTTTTAATCTGTCGTCTTTTGACCACTGGGGAAATGCTCTTTTCTTCTAGTCCGGGCTTTGCTGGGGCGCTGATAGTTCCTGTCAAAGGGCTTCTGCAGTACGTTGAAGAAATAGACATGAATGTAAAGTCCATATGGGTAATAATTAACATTGTAATGTCAACATAAGTAAAATTCACAGTAAAGTTAACAGAAGGTAAAGATAAAGGCGAGAGGATCAACTTCGTTGCACCAGTTTTTATCCCATAAGGCTCAGCGTCTCTCAGCGGAACGGCGAGCTGTCTACCGAAAGCGTCACACAGAGCACAACCTCCGTATCTCCAGGCGAGGATCCCCATGGATCTCCGTAATAATTTCACTCGTAAACTGAATGACGCAGCCGTGAAACCAACCCATGACCTTCAGAATGCGAGACAAACGGCTTGATCAATTCGCCACTGATACCCTCTTGTAAAGTTAATGTGTGTTCTTGTACTAAAACCAACCAACCCGAACTAATATCAGTGGGTAAAGGGGCTGTCTTGGCTTTAAAAAACAATTATAAAGATCACCCGAAAGGGGCATAAACCGTGTCCACGGAAGAAGTAATGATAACAACAACAACATCAACAACAATGATAATAATGTAGTATGTCCTTTGCAGAACCTTGCTCCCATAACCAACCTCCGGACAACTTCTTGATCACAAGCAAGATGTCCCGCATTCGAAACCTCCATCTAGAGATCATCCGCCACCTCCTGCACCAATCTTCTCCTTGATATGTAAGTGTCTGTGTGTGTGTCTGTATTTTTGTCTGAGTGTTTGTGTCTCTGTGGGAGTGTCCGTGTGTGCATGTGTGTGTCTTCATGCATGACTGGATTTATGACTGTCTGTGTGTATGCCTGTATCACATATGTATGTATTAATGTATGTATGTATGCCTGTATGTTTGTATCTATGTATGTATGTTTGTGTGTACGTATGCCTGTGTGTATGTGTGTATGCATATTTGTTTATATGTATCTGTGTATGTATGTATGTAATGTATGCATGCATGTTTGTGTGTGTAAGTGAGTGGGTGAGCGGGTGTATGTATGCACGCGCGGGTTTTTGCATGCACTTTACAACTCATGCTTTTGTGTTCTTTTATAATATTCATAATACGCATAACATCATATGATCATAACATGCTTTATTAGTAAAATACAACTGCTGTGCGAAAGATGGTTGACTGGAAGGGCCGAATGTAAGACGTGCCTGCGTGCCCAATTTGTGACCCTTTGAAAATAAAGTTCGTTCGTTCTCTTCCCGGGCATTTACCCCTCTATTAATGTTCTCTCTAAACTTTCGTGACCTTTCAAGTGACCAAAATCTTTATATTTTCTGTGCTTTTTCGTCTTTAGCCAACCATCTTCAACATTCAGTTCTTAAAGTATAGATGCATTTGTTCTTTTCTTTACCCATTATATTCTTAGAACCCGTCTATATTATTTTTATTTAAAGGCATGTATGCTCTGTTCAGCTCATTTAGTAAGTGTCCAGGTCTCACGGGTAGTTACAGGTATCCGACTGTTTTTGTAGCGTTGTTTTGAAAGAGGTGTGTTTGGGCAACGATGAAGTTTTGGAAATAGCTGTTGAACGAGAAAAAAAAAAGGAAAAGATAGGGATGAATCAGTAGTGACCGTTTGTTTTGCAAGGACTGGCGACTTAGGGTTTTCTTTTCATATATTCTACAAGAATGTTTTAAGCGACTGAAGTGAACGTCGACGACTTCCGCAAAGTACTTTCCAGTGTTTAAAATCGATTAATGTTTTATTAGTATTTTCCCCCGCCCTTTAAAAAAAAAAAAATTTCAATAACATCTTTTTGGCCCTAGGTTGTGCTGCCCTGTAACCAAAATTAGATTTGATGTTGCAGATTTGGCTTGCATAGTCTCCGTTTAGCAACGATGCCTGAGCATCATGTCCGGTTTGAAATTCTAGCTTGATTTCGATCACGCTGCCTTCTGGGTAATCTCACGTTATGTAAACAACCAGATCACCTGGTAATGTAAGGTCTTCCTTGGTGAGCTTACAATGTAACACTAGATTATGTTATCTGATTATTTCATTTGGGTGGATTCATTTTTTTTTTAATATTTTATTTACAGTAGGCACATGGCGAGATAAACTGAACTATGCCGAGCAATAAATTGTGAACATATTGTTTCAGCTCTCATTCAGTCAGATAATATGGCCGGAGCTGTCGCCAGAATAAAGGCTTAATGCAAATAATCTCCAAACTCTGCCTCGTGTGTTGTGTGTACACTCTCTGAGACATGCTTTTTGAGAATTTCCTGATTTTATTCTTTCACTTGTATCGTTGTCTACTTCTTGCTCGTTTGCCTTCAAATGTTTCCTCCATTATGATTTTGATGAGCTCAGTTGAGTTAATATTAAGTATAATCAACAAATAGATCAATGTTTGCGCGACACTCATAGAAAGAAGTAAAAAATGTAAAAGGACACAACAGACAACATAAAAAATCGAATAGAACAAAGTTCCGATCAATATATCGATGTTTGTTTATTATATATTATGTTTCAACCATTATTTCTATGAGTGCCGATTAATCCATTGTCGGTTTGTTATATATACTATTCCAACAGACCCTGGGATTCTCCTTCTGTTTATGTATGAGTTGAATTGAGTTAATAGTTGGAATAATTATACCCGGCACATTCCCATATGCGCTCTACACTCTTCTTCAGCAGTCACCGAAGAAAACTATTTTCTTTGGTACTAGAAACAATCAATGTTTCTATACTGTTTTTTTTTTTTTTCTAACAAACAAAGAAGAAAAAAAACTGCAACAAAATTGAGAATCATTTAAATGAGTTCTTTATTGTAAATAAATGAAATTTGTGTTTTTTTATTATTTTTTTTAAATTTTTCTTTCAGCAGCTGTGTTTTATTTTCAGTTTCTTTTGTATGTAAATAGTTATATATCCGTGAAATACGGCATTACTGTCTCCTCATCACCCAAATAATTATACATAAAATTATGTGAACGTAAACACACAAACAAACGTTTACACATTAGAACACAGAGGGAGAGTCAAACTACAGATAGATGGTAACAAAACCCTACCTGCCGGGACTGAGCTGTCCCGCTTTTTGCAGCAGCTTTATGTACTTGTTCCTGGACTGTCGCAGCTGCTGACTCCTGGAAAGTGTCCTTGTTGGTGTCATTATGGAGGTTTGCGAAAGCTGTCTCTGGTTAAGCCGTAAAGGATTCGCCGCAAATTGCGACCTACATTCTGTCGGAGTCCCCTGGTCCGCAAACTCTATATTGATATTTACCATAGGGCCCTTGTATGTGGCTGAAATCTGTGTTGCCTTTTCATTTCTGGAAATAGACGATGCGCCAGGGACTCGCCCACAAGACGAACCGGCTAAAGAAGACACTAACATGCCGCGTTGGGCTGGGGACTTCAGACCTTCAGAACGTTTCAACTCTGGATGATAGTTACTAGCTTGACTAATTATCAAGTAGTCTTCATTAAGGACATCTGCTTTCGATCGACATTTGTTGTCCCTGTTACTCATACACCCAGAGTGAATTTTATCAACTTTTCCCTGTTTTTCTCCAGCGGCTGCTTCATGTACCGGAGACACTTCGTATTTTCGCTTCGACTGAATCCAGCGTCGCATTCTGGCTGTGATTGAAGAGATTATACCCATGTTTCCACTTTTATCTCCGGAATTAATCCTAGTTTTTCTACACGCCTGGACACTTTTGTTGAGCCCCAACCGGCAAGTTGTGCTGCCTGTGAGGCTGAATTTTCTGCACATGCGAATACATTTCTTGTGGCGAATTCCGTTGGTGTCCATGTTTACCTGGAGTATCTTTGACCAGTGGGAGTCACCTGTAGGATAGAGAGATCGACCAGCGTTAGTGGAGTCACCTGTAGGATAGAGAGATCGACCAGTGTTAGTGGAGTCACCTGTCAGATAGAGAGATCGACTAGTGTTAGTGGAGTCACCTGTCAGATAGAGAGATCGACCAGTGTTAGTGGAGTCACCTGTCAGATAGAGAGATCGACCAGTGTTAGTGGAGTCACCTGTCAGATAGAGAGATCGACCAGTGTTAGTGGAGTCACCTGTAGGATAGAGAGATCGACCAGTGTTAGTGGAGTCACCTGTCAGATAGAGAGATCGACAAATGTTAGTGGAGTCACCCTGTAGGATACAGAGATCGACTAGTGTTAGTGGAGTCACCTGTCAGATAGAGAGATCGTCCAGTGTTAGTGGAGTCACCTGTAGGATAGAGAGATTGACTAGTGTTAGTGGAGTCACCTGTCAGATAAAGAGATCGACCAGTGTTAGTGGAGTCACCTGTCAGATAGAGAGATCGACTAGTGTTAGTGGAGTCACCTGTAGGATACAGAGATTGACTAGTGTTAGTGGAGTCACCTGTCAGATAGAGAGATCGTCCAGTGTTAGTGGAGTCACCTGTCAGATAGAGAGATCGACTAGTGTTAGTGGAGTCACCTGTAGGATAGAGAGATTGACTAGTGTTAGTGGAGTCACCTGTCAGATAGAGAGATCGACTAGTGTTAGTGGAGTCACCTGTAGGATACAGAGATTGACTAGTGTTAGTGGAGTCACCTGTAGGATACAGAGATTGACTAGTGTTAGTGGAGTCACCTGTCAGATAGAGAGATCGACCAGTGTTAGTGGAGTCACCTATCAGATAGAGAGATCGACTAGTGTTAGTGGAGTCACCTGTCAGATAGAGAGATCGACCAGTGTTAGTGGAGTCACCTGTCAGATAGAGAGATCGACTAGTGTTAGTGGAGTCACCTGTAGGATACAGAGATTGACTAGTGTTAGTGGAGTCACCTGTCAGATAGAGAGATCGTCCAGTGTTAGTGGAGTCACCTGTAGGATAGAGAGATTGACTAGTGTTAGTGGAGTCACCTGTCAGATAGAGAGATCGACTAGTGTTAGTGGAGTCACCTGTCAGATAGAGAGATCGTCCAGTGTTAGTGGAGTCACCTGTAGGATAGAGAGATTGACTAGTGTTAGTGGAGTCACCTGTCAGATAGAGAGATCGACTAGTGTTAGTGGAGTCACCTGTCAGATAGAGAGATCGACCAGTGTTAGTGGAGTCACCTGTCAGATAGAGAGATCGACTAGTGTTAGTGGAGTCACCTGTAGGATACAGAGATTGACTAGTGTTAGTGGAGTCACCTGTAGGATACAGAGATTGACCAGTGTTAGTGGAGTCACCTGTAGGATACAGAGATTGACTAGTGTTAGTGGAGTCACCTGTAGGATACAGAGATTGACTAGTGTTAGTGGAGTCACCTGTCAGATAGAGAGATCGTCCAGTGTTAGTGGAGTCACCTGTAGGATAGAGAGATTGACTAGTGTTAGTGGAGTCACCTGTAGGATAGAGATATCGACCAGTGTTAGTGGAGTCACCTGTAAGATACAGAGATCGACTAGTGTTAGTGGAGTCACCTGTAGGATAGAGAGATCGTCCAGTGTTAGTGGAGTCACCTGTAGGATAGAGAGATCGACCAGTGTCAGTGGAGTCACCTGTAGGATAGAGAGATCGACCAGTGTCAGTGGAGTCACCTGTAGGATAGAGAGATCGACCAGTGTCAGTGGAGTCACCTGTAGGATAGAGAGATCGTCCAGTGTTAGTGGAGTCACCTGTGAGAGACAGAGAGATCGACAATTGTTAGTGGAGTTAGCTCTGTGTGTGTGAGTGAGTGTGTGTGTGTTTGACAGAAAGAGAGAGAGAGAGATTGAGTGAGAGAGACCTACCAGTGTTAGTGAGTGAGAGAGAGAGAGAGACAGAGAGAGACAGAGAGAGAAAGAAAGAGAGATCGACCAGATATGATTTGCAAACCACTAGGTACAATGCTGTAGATAAACAAGATGGGCAACGCGAAGTAGTAGTCTATAAACAGTTAAAGAAGAAAACTATTCGAAAGGTAACAGAAATGTGCAAGTTTCTGGTAGTTTCATTCGTCATGTCAGAATATAAAGACGGTTACAAAACAGTTTGATAAATACGTCGTTTTTATTGTTTTCGTTTAAAAATAAGAAGAAGAAAAAGAAGAGGAGGAGGAGGAAGAAGAAGAAGAAGAAGAAGAAGAAGAAGAAGAAGAAGAAGAAGAAGAAGAAGAAGAAGAAGAAGAAGAAGAAGAAGAAGAAGAAGAAGAAGAAGAAGAAGAAGAAGAAGAAGAAGAAGAAGAAGAAGAAAATGATGATGAACATGAAGATGATAATGTTAGTGATAATGATAATTGAGAACTTTAATCTGTATTTGGCCTTGTACATTCCTCTAATCTTTTGCAGAGATGCCATTCAATCGAATATTTTGCACAACACTCTTGGAGAGTGTGTCTGAGATTTGAAAGATGCAAAACAAAACATGACCAAATCATGTCAAATTACCGTCTGTGACACTCGTGCTTTACTTTTTTCCTGCATAAAAAATGTTAAAGGCCACAAACGTTAAAAAAAATCAAACAATAGAGAGCCACTAGGTGTCGTAAGTGTATTCGAATCATCTAGATAAAGCTCTTAGTTACGACGTAATGGCTTATGGCGACAGCTCTTGCCATTTTGAGGTCAAATTACGCGCTCTCCGACCATTGATTTACAACTCGCACTCTTGCTGCACATGCCACAGAAATGATGCTAAACAGGGAACAACATTTACAAATTTGGAAATTTCCACAGAACAAGAAATAGCCTTGTGTTTAGGCTTCCAGAATATTCGTTATGAGAACGACAAATAGCTACAGAAGGGGTTAAAAGCAAAACAGAGGTAGGATATATCATCATCAAGTACCTCGTGGACTGGCGGGGATGACCATGCCTCTAGACTAGACATTTAAAAATGCAGAGATACAGAATTATTAATGTAAACTGAGAACATGAACTATAACGGCAATTTGTGTATTATGGAGCAACATTTTAGTTGCGTATCTTCTTCAGGCGGCTTAATGCTGACCCCATTACCCATCCAGTGCCGATTGGTCTGTAAAAATATGGGACGCTCTTCCATTTACCCAATGCACCTAAGGCGTGAAAGGGGATCTTTACTTACTTTTACCTACTACATTCTTCAGGACCCCGTTACTTAACTCAAGCACCGATTGACTGTTTGTGATTAATCGATCGATTGATTAGTGTGGCTCATCTGATTGTTATCTGAAAGATTACCATATCATCCTGAGATTTTTTTAAATCTCACTCTGGATGATATACCAACGAGACAAATCCCAGATACCCTGTCAAAAGAAGAAGGGGCCTCATAATCAGGACTGCCGTAACGGCTACACAAATCAGGTGTATCCTGAAGTCCTCTCTGGGAAAAGGGCCCTCCTGTAAGTAAAAGGAAAAGTAAAAGGACCCTCTTCCAGCCCTTCAGGCATATTGGGCATTCAGGGCTAGACGTATGTTTGATAGACCTATCTCACTTGGTGGGTGATATAGTTACCATCATGCCGACCGTCTTTACTTCCCATGACTGCACCTGGTACCCATTCAAGGGGCCCTCCTGTTTATGGTGTTATTTGGCTACTTTGCTTTCATGGTTTGTCTTTACTTTCTTTACAGTACCAGACGTGTAAAGTTGTAATTGTCAACACAAAGCGGCTTTCTACTTAAGCCAGTGGTTTTCAACCTTCCTAATGCAGCGACCCTTTAATACAGTCCCATTATATTGTGCCGACCGGCAAATAATTATTTCCCTTCTTAACTTCTATAAATTTGTGTTTTCCGATGGTCTTAGGCGACCCACGCGAAAGGGTCGTTCGATCCAAAAAAGGGGTCGCGACCGGCAGGGTGAGAACTGCTCACTGGAGCACTTGAAGCTGAAATCTTCTCCTGTCTGACTGATGAAACCACCTTCACAATCACATAAGTCAACACACATTAACACAATACTCGGTAGGCATTCTAATAGACACCGTTCTTTCATGTCCAATACATTTCGTATGAGATACTTCAATTGCGTCCTTTTTAGGGCGTAATTTTTTGTTATTTGAAGCCCCACTCTGGCTTTTGCCAGGGGCCGCAATAAAGGCAGGCCATCAATATGGCCAAAAGTCTGAACGCGGTTTCTGGGACCTCTACACGGTGATCCTCATCCGCATGGTGGCACTTTGTGTCATCGGGTGTTTATTGCTTGTGTGATGTCCTAGTGGGGTAGAAAGTCAGTCAGTCAGTCAATACATTTCGTTCCAACAGAAGATGGGTGTTTTTCAGGTCAGGGAAATCATGTTTGCACATTCGCTATAATTTTTTTTTTTAAAGCGGGTCTCCTGGAGAAATGGTTAAGCTCTTTGCGAGCCCTGAAGGGCTTGAGTTCGTTTCGCTGACGTATTGTTCAGTTTGCTGGTGTAATTTTTTTGTTCTTTTAACTGAGAGATTAATCGGGATTGTCGCTGGTGCCACGGATTTCGCGGTTCGTTCGACGTTCTCAGAAGTCATCTAGCCGTTTTGTCGAAAACGGTCCAGCTATTTAGTAAACCCAGGGTAATGAAGTCAATTCTCTTGACTTTAACTTTAGATATTAGAACATAATCACCCCTTAAGGAGCAGTGAACAAAAAATGTTCGACTCATATTTGTATAAATGAATCACTACTGCTTTAGTTATGTGATCAACATCCAGACGACCTCCTTAACTTCATATGACATTTCCTGATACTCATTTAAGGCTGGGTCGACCTGGGTGTTTTTTTTTTCCTAATAAACTCGCTTGGACAATCACGTCATCGGAAACCTGGCCTACCATACCGCTTATGACTCCAAACTCTTTCACTGTCAAACAGTTCACCGCGCGTGTAGTGGGTAAACATGACAAGATAGGATATTAAAAAATTTGTGTATTTCGCTGACCTTCTTTTTCTTCGCTTTCACCCCCTGTGAATTCCCTCTGAAGATTCTGGTTCTGTGTCCACTTCTGGAATTAAGTCTTGTACCAAAAATGGAGGTTTGCTGCACATCCGTTTTTCAGATCTGGCTTTTCTTTGTAAACAGACTGATCCATCCATCCATGTCCCAGGCATTCTCTTCCTCGGAATGAAAACGAAAATGCAAGACATCACAGAAAGCAAACAGAGCGGGACACACCCGTAACATTCAGGAAAGTCGACAGCCCAAAAAACAAGTGAATGAAAATTGACCTACTCTGTTTGAGGAAACTAACGTGAACCTAACCCCCCTCCTCCCCACCCCCAAATACTGTTAGCGACTGATGGCCGTCATGTTCTCCAGTTTTCTCGGTGATCAAGGGATTTGACTATTTGGACTTCAATGAAAACCACTTCTCTTTGCCTAATTTCTCTGTGTGGAGTTTCATACTGTATACTAATATGGCCATTGTATTTCAGTTTACGAGAAACGACATTGTTTATGAGTCCCTCCCTCCCCCCCCCTTTCCACCTTGCGGCCCCCCCCCCCTCGTCTCGATGTTCAAATCGTTAATATTGCCAGTATTATTAGTTTTGTCCTCTCCGGGCCCATGATAATCTAAGCAGTATCCTGTAATATTTAAGATAAAAATTACATATTTTATTTTTATTTAGTATCTGCAGTCCTGGATTTCATTAGAAGACAACAAGTGAAATGGTTTGGCCATGTAACGCGGATGTATGCAGACAGTATACCACAGCTATTCCACAGCAAGCAATAATGGCGGGAAGCGAAAGCGAGGCCAACCATGCAAACCATAGACAGGGGAAATAACACACTCCCTGGGAATCCCCAATTTTTAAAGCGCACAAACGGGCACTTTCCCGTAAATTTTACTTCACCGAGACACCCCAATCTACTTGCGGATCTTGATTAGTAATGAGATGAGTAATCGCTAAACACATCCGCTTGTTGCCACTGGGAAAAGACATGTCCTCGTCATTTTCACTTTTAGTCGTTTGCTTATGTTGCACCATGGGTGCTTCATACTATTTCACATTTGCATTGCTCAAGTAAGTCTCTTTTTTATTTCTGATGAACAGTCTAAATTTTTGTTGATTACCGACTGAGCATATATTCAGAGTTTGTAACATTTTATATTTCCCTAATGTTAATTGTAATTTTTTTTTGTAGTTTACGTTAAGTTTCAACTGTGGATATTAATTTTTTTAGTTTTTTTTTTTTTTTAATCTTTACTGTATCTCTAGGTGTAATCAGCTCCGCGTGATCTGTTTTTGCTATGTTTTGTTGGTATTTCTTCTTCACCGTAGTTAAACAGAAGGGAAACAACAAATATTTTAGCAAGGGCGCTAAATCTGGAGAAAACAAACATGGCTGTCGGTTTTCATAGAACGCACAAAAACATGACTGGCGAAATATTACAAGACAAACACATTGCGGCCAAAGATTAGAGTGCCCTTGGCTTTTTTTTTAGGTTCCGATTCTGACATTAACGACTGTAGCCTAGAGCTGGGACAGGCAGAAGAAAAGCCATATTATCATCGGCTATGCTTCTTATACGTCAAACGGGATTTGTATGAGCTTGTGAGCTATGATTAAAATAAATTATGTCATTTATAGCAGGGCTATTCAATAAGTTTACTCAGGGGCCACATATGCCGATGTCTGCAGACAGCACAGCATGCAATAATGGTGGGACACGAAAAGGAGGCCAACTATGCAAACTATGGACAGAGGAAATAACAAACTCCCTTTAAATCCCCATTTACGAAGCGCACAAACGGGTACTTTCCCGTAAATTATGTTTCACCTGGACACTGCAAGGTACCAGAGGACCATGATTACCTGAGATGAGATGATGAGTAACAGCCCACGTCTCACATCAGTAGGATATAAAGATTGTGCAAACGGTATATGAATGATACAGGTATTGAGATGGACTGGTGGAAACGAAATGACATCGCCATGGACTGTGAGTCCCATGCCTCCTCATAGCACAAAATAATACTAACTTCTGGAAAGACGGAAAAGTGCTAATAATATTTGACCCGGGGGCCACTGGTTGAATAGCCCTGATTTGCAGGATTAGGCTAATAAGGATTACCACATAGAAACATATCATATAAAGCGTAAGCTTTCCCACTCTTTGTTACAAGTGTCACATCTCTCCAAAACCAACATGGGACGCAGTTATTTATTATTTTATAACCCAACCCCGGCTGTAGTCGCGGCCCTGGTATAATCTAACCATGCTACTGGGTATCTGGGACTTGTGCTCGGGTGATCCTCATCCGAATGGTGGTACTTTGGTCATCGGGTGTTTATCCCTTGTTAAGCGGTCATTTATTTCGCAGTTTTGGTAATCACAACAAACCATAAAAGAACATTAGCAAGGATTGCAATAAGCTGTCATAGAAGAAGGGCTGCGGGAATCTCCAGAAAAGGATACCATTAGAAATGAGGTCATAAGAAAAAAGTTGCCACAGGATCAATTCTGCATTATATACAATTATATATTAATAAAGTAACAAACAATGTATTGATCGGCACTCATAGAAAGAAGTAGAAAGGTAGAAAAACACTAGACATCATAAAAATCAAAAGCTATAGGTTTTAGTGCCGGAAATCGAACCTGTCACCTCCACGGCGTGTGCGCCTCGCTACGGAAGTGAACAAGCGTACTAAGAACATGGTCAACAAAGACAGCTGATCAAGTGTCTTGTCTATTGACAAAGAATGCCTTGCGACGCCGTACCATGCTAGGCATACATTAAGGAGAAGGAAGCGGAACACAAGGTAGACCAAGAACAAGATGGAAAGATAATATCAGAGAAACACTACAGCAGCGCGATGTGTCTGTGGTTGAGGCAGCCTTACAAGCAGGAAGCAGAATCTTATATCTTCCTCGACACCAAAAGCGGTGAAGGAAGAAGTGGAGAAGAGGAAGAAGATCGGCGCTGAAAAACTGCTGGTAAATCGGATGTTTCTTGTGATAGATATCTAGCCGGTGTCTAGCTTTGAATGTGCCATTTGGTGTCGCCCTTTTCTTTATAAGTTAGTGAAATCGTTTTACAATGCAATCCTAGGGTTTTAACAGGGTTGCGTACTTATAGTGGGCGGTTTGAAAAAGGACCTTTGAGACAGCGGTAAGAGAGTTGCATTAGAAATTGCATTAAAAGTTGCAAAAAAAATGAGAATCGTCAAATGTTATATATACTTAACCCTGGTACAGAAAGTTGGACAATGAAGAGGTAACCAGAAATTCAAAATGAGTTTCTGGAAATTTAGATATACCAAGCAATATTGTATTGTAAGCAAACAAAGACAAAATCAAGTACATTGTTCTGGAAGTATCGTAAACTGAAGGAGAAATCATCATCATCATCATGTAGCAGGTCATTTGCAGAACGTCGCTCTTATCACAGTCTGCCTGAAAGAAACTCGGTCTTTCGCCAGTTCTCTCGCCTCATGTACTTTCATACTCAAGGAGTCACTTATATCCTGTGCCCATCTTCGTGTTGGTCGGCCTCTGCCCCTCCTTCCTAGTACCATGCCTTCTGCTATAATTTTTTTCCAATCCGTCGTGGCGCTTGATATGACCAGATATTTCAGCTTTCGAGAAAGGATGCTGTTTATTAGCCAATCTTCCTTGATGTTCAGATCTTTTCAGATGTCAATATTTCTCCTCTTCTTTGTCCAAGATATTCTGAGAATCTGTCTATAGCATCTTAGCTGAAAAGCCCCTTATCTCTTTCTCAAGAACTGAAGGAGAATTACTGAAAAAAATTGAGAGAGAGAGAGAGAGAGAGAGAGAGAGAGAGAGAGAGAGAGAGAGAGAGAGAATTTAAATATTTTGCCCATATTAAAAGACATAGTAATTTCTAAAAAAGAGTATAAAGAGTATTATTGAGGGACAAGTCGAGGGCAAGACAGCAACAGGTGAAAAAATACACAACTGGGAAAATAACATCAAGATATAGACGAACATCAGTCTTAGAAACTATACAACTAGGCCAAGAGACAGAGCGTGCTGGAGATACAATGCAGCCAACCTCAACTATAAAGACGCCACCTGACTGATTGAATCGAGTTACACTGTGGAAGACATAGAAGCCTTGATGCTTAATATTTCCATAATTAGTCTTTAATACATTGCAGTTATCCTCGCTTGTGACGAAGGCACAATTGTTTAATATGTGCGTTGTATATAAGATAATAGCCCGTCTCTCTAGAGTAGTTGGCTAAACCGGATTGCGCGGTGAGCGGGTGAGGAACTCCTTGTGGTCCGGGTTCACTCCCGTGGGTAGGCAAAAAAAGCCACATTTTCTCCCAGATTTACGGTATTTACAATGGAATCAAGGCCGAAAGGTTGCGATATCCATAATACCGAGCCTAAGGGTTAATAACTCAAGGCTTCTGGATACTAATACAAACAAACAAACATATAAGATAATAAAATAAATAATCATCATTCCCCGCTCTCTTTTAGTAACCTACTTTCCCACACAAGAGGAAAAACAAGAATAGACCGGAGTTGTTGCCAACATGACCCCTCCCCTCCTCCCGTTTTCCCCCAAAGACTATACAGATCTCATTTGCCGTTCTTCCTAGTGTTGATCTGCTCTAAACTCACGAGAACAGTTTCTGGTTGGTCGTTCGCGTGTCGACTTTAGATTCGGTCATGAACTTGTACTTCGTGCCATTTCCATTTTATAGATCTGGCTGACTTTTATGCAGATTGTTGGTTCCTCGCTTCCGAGGCTGTTGCACTAGGACTTTCAGGGTAAAACCCATAATTAGTCGTCTCTTACGACATGTTTTATCTGAAGGGCATAAATAAACAGAGGGGGAGGGGGGAACCTGGAGCCGTAGAAACAATATATCTAAATATGCATATATATATATATATGTGTGTGTGTGTGTGTGTGTGTGTGTGTGTGTAAAGTTAGTTGCGTATCCTTTACAGGACTTTGTAAAACCAACCCCAGCATTATTTTGCTGTTGTGGTTTTCCTAGGCAAGTTTACGTCCAGTAGTTTGCCATTGCCTCTGGACGGTCGGCTTCTCGATACAAATGTCGAAACCAACGCAAGGCACAAGGTACGCAGCTGGGATCGAACCCGGCACACCGGCATTACAAAGCGCGTTCGTAACACCTAACCACAGACGCCGACATATATATATATATATGTATACATAATTTATAAAAAAACAGACACTGTATTGATTGGAACTCACAGAAAGAAGTAAAAAGATAAAAGGGCACACTAGACAACATAAACATTGAAATCTATAGTTGCCATGCCGGGTTCAAACCTGTCACCTCCAAATGACTTGTGCGCCTCGCTATGGAAACAAGTGTACTAAGATACATGACCAACTGTTAGAAGGGCAGCAAGTCTATTCGTTTTCCATCAAAACTGGAGCATGTAAATCAGTAGAGTAGCAAAAGGCAGCTGGAACCCGTCGCCGAAATTATATCCCCCACCCCCACCCCACTCCACCCCACCCCCTCCCCGCTCCCACACACACACACACACACACACACACACACACACATATATATATATATATATATATATATATATATATATATATATATATATATATATATATATATATCGTCTCATGCTGGATCCATTCATTTAGAAACGTAATCCTAAATCCCATCTTCTTGTTTGTGTTCTTCTGCCCAGGATCCTCCAGTGGAGCTTAGAGCCCCACTACCTAAGGCCAAGGCGTCCTATTATTTGCTATTACATGCAGCTCACCTTATATTCTCCTAAACTGTTTAACTTCACTTTCTAGTCTATTCGTTTTCCATCAAAACTGGATCAAGTAACTCAGTAGAGTAGCAAAAGGCAGCTGGAACCCGTCGCCGAAATTTATATCCCCCACCTCCACCCCACTCCACCCCATCCCACTCCCCGCTCCCACACACACACACACACACCCACACACACACACACACACACATATATATATATATATATATATATATATATATATATATATATATATATATCGTCTCATGCTGGATCCATTCATTTAGAAACGTAATCCTAAATCCCATCTTCTTGTTTGTGTTCTTCTGCCCAGGATCCTCCAGTGGAGCTTAGAGCCCCACTACCTAAGGCCAAGGCGTCCTATTATTTGCTATTACATGCAGCTCACCTTATATTCTCCTAAACTGTTTAACTTCACTTTCTAGCTCCCTCCTTCGTGTGTTTTGGTCTGCCTTTATTTCTATGCCCCTGTGGGTTCCAGTGTAATTACATTTTAGTTATATCGTTCGCGGGTTTTTCTAATGCTTGTGCTATCCAACGCCAGCGTCTTTTCTTCACCTGTGAATTAATAGAGTTTGTTTAAAACTCTCCCAAAGCTAAATAATAATGATTATATCATACTTCTTTAGGGAGCTGCGTAGTCTTGATGCATGGTGTCCGCCTCGAGTGCTAGAGGTTCCGGGTTCAATCCCCGGTAAAAACTGG